AGAGAGAGAGAGAGAGAGAGAGAGAGAGAGAGAGAGAACACCTTAACGATAAACGCTATAATAGAGAATATATAGATAAAAGAAAAAAAGGGAAAAAAGGGAAAAAAGGGAAAAAAAGTGGATGGATTCTTCGAATCGTCGATAACCACACGTTCGATTTTTTCGTACGCGACTCGATTAATCGACATTTTCGGCGACGATTCTCGGTCGCCGTGTTTCGATATCGCGCATCAAGTGGAACGATTCTCTCCGAAAATCTCGACGAGACTGACTCGTGTCACGATATTATCACGATATGATCCCCGAGGACAGATACCGGTGGAATATTCGGTTGTCGAATATCGACCGTTTTCATATACTCGCGTATACGTTTTCGTGTAACTGCTTGACGCGCTTTGTAAAAATATACCATCGACGATAAAACGAAAAATAATTTTAATAAACGATTCCTGGAGAGTGAGCGGTCTTTTTCTTGGAAAATTTCTTTCGTTATGGTTCTATATGATTTTGTACAAACTTTTTTTTTTATTCTATTTTTTCAAATTTTAATATTCCTCTATTTTCGAAAACGACGTTCATTCGAATCTTTGCCTCGCAATAGTTGATTCTAAATGGTTTTTTTTCTCAATTATTTTAAATTTAAGCGTAATTCAAGTTACATTTCTAGAAAAATTTCTAATTTAAGTAAAAGTCGATAAATGTGTATTTATTTTCGCTGCGTATCGTTTGCGCGATAAAAAAAAGTACTCTGCTATGAAATTCAACCACTTCGACTTATAAATATTTTTACTTTCACATTACTTTTTGGAAAATTGTAATTTAACTAGTATTCAATAAATTCAATATTCACATAAATGCTGTTTTTCAATTATGCTTATAAATTCTATTTCCTAAATTTATTTTCGAATCCTATTTCAATTAATATTCGATAACATTTTTTCTCAGCTATACTTAATTTCAATATTTTTTACCCTTAATATCTGATAAATTCAACTATTCGTTTAGAAATACTTTTTTTCAATTACACTTAAAAATTTGATTTTTCTATTTCAAATTTTTTGAAAAAATCCTATTTCAGGTAATATTTTTATAACATTTTTTTTCAGCCACTCTTATAAAGTTTCTTATTCCATATTTTTTGAAAAATTTCTATTTTTAATATCCAATAAATTCAAATATTCGATAAACATTCACAAACACAAACACAACATTTTCTTTCAGTTTCAATTTATAAACATTCCTAATATTCACTAGCTTTTCGATAACACTTTTCCTCGGTCACATTTAACCTAACGTTTCTATTCCACATTATTTAAAAAAAATTCCTACTTTATCCGATATTGGATAAAAGAAGAAACATTTCCACTCGATCTGGACGAATTTCGAAGCGAACCGTGACGAGTATGTTAAACGAGTATGTAGTTCAAAGTAATTTCGGGATGGCCGATCTTGATCGCGCGAAAATTCATCGCGACGCGAGCCACCTGCCGAGAAACTCGATTGCGCGAGTAATGAGACGCCACGAAACATTCCGTCACGCGGACAGATTCGTCGAACATTCCGAGTAATCCAATAATTCGCCAGCCGTGTGCCAGAAATTGAAATTTAACCCAATCCGCGGCACAGGTCTAAGTGGCAATTTCGCGCGTAAGGCTGTCACTCCCCTCCCTCCATCCCTCCTTTTCATCCAGACAGTTTCTTCCATCCGAGGAGATCCATCCTTTCGATTAATTATTCTCACGATGATGAGAAAAAAAAGTAAATTACGTTTTTAATCGTGCAGAGAAAAAAAAAAAGAAAAAAGAAAAAAATGGCCGATAGTTTTTTCCGCTTTCTGCTCTCCGTACAATCGTCTTCGAGAAGGCTATTAACCTTCAAGCTGTTCAGTGACGTCAATGATCTCTTCTCTGTTCGACGAATAAGAACATCGCGAATAACGAGGCCAAGACAACGATCCTCTTTATTCCGCATTATTTCTCCGGATGAAAAATACGAATTAAGGCTATCGTATGCTTCTTTCCCCTTTCGAAAATATTTATTTTTAGCTCGTTATTTCGTCGAGAAACACCTACGTTCAAAAGTTTTCACACAGTTCTTTATGAGAGTTCAATTAAAAAGTTGCATTATTAAAAATAATAATAATTTGTTTTATATTGTATCATACATACAATTTCTTCATTAATGGAATATTATTTCGAAATATCGGTTTATTTTTAAACGTAAGCTCATACGAGATAGCAAAAAATTTCAAATATTTAAACTTTAGTGCTCTATTATTCTATTGCAAAATGTATTTCGAAATTGTATAAAAAAATACGAAAAAAATGATAAAAATCATTATGATCTGTATGTACAAAAATTTTCCAAAATAAATAAATTTTTTAGTATATACGTATGTAAGCTCTGGATAAATGTTCACTTTCCACGCGATCATTAACGTGTTTAAAAATACGAATAAGGTCACGACGTACATATATGGAGAAACGTTCGTATTTTAGACGTTTCCTCTAATTTCTGGAATCCTATATTTAACGTAGGAGCACTAACTTATCAGCAATTTTGCGGACAACTCTAAGACAAGTTTGAATGTTATCTAATGCGGAGAAAGATCATCATTCTATGTCCAAACAGAATTCAGAAATTTAATTAATTCGAGTTAAACGTACATGCATCATAGTTGCTTGACGTGTCTTTTTCGTATTTCCAATGCGAATTATTTTAATTTTATCGTGTATCTTACCGATCGATGATAATTCATATTCGTTTTATTTTCATTTCATTTGATCAAGAAAATGAAAAAACTCTTATTATGGAAAAGATTGTGAAATGATTCGATTAAAATAAAGAATATATTTAATAAAGGAAATAGGAATAAATTACGTTATATAGATGTGGACCGTGTCGATGCCTCTGTTCTACTATACTGAGCTCGTATCGCACGACGGTTCAAAAAGGATCACGCCCGGTAATTTAATTTGTACACAAATGTACAAGATATGAATCTTTATATATATAAATTCAATATACTATGATATATATGTAAATTACTTTATATATATATATATATAAACATATAACAAATTCTTTGTTATTTTGGTTAATAAAAATTAATAATTTAACCTAAACGAAGATTTTTCGATCGTTCGAATTTAATCCTAATCTCTTCGATATTTTTTCTTCGAAATTATTAACATTTTTCAAATTCTATCATTGATATTCAAATTCAATTAAAATTTATTATCTGAATGGGGCTTGAAATTAATTAATGTATAACAGAACGAGTCGATTAGCTTGGTTATCCTTACTTGATTTAATTTTTCATCGAGGAAACTTTTTTATGACATTTCTTTTAAAAAAAAAAATCGATTCTCACTTTTGTTTTAACAAAATGTAAAATACTCGGTTGAAATTCATTTTTCTCCTCCGCAAGTTTTATTTCGTTACATGGTCAAATTACATGATTGTTGGGCGGCGTAACTGTCGCAAACAGTTGACTTTGTCGGTCGGAATTCTAGGGTCTTTCGTTCGTTTGATCAGGGGAACGGGGGGAGTGTTAGACTTGATCCAACACAGTAGGCGGGCTACTCAAACTGTATACGATGTACATGTAGACAGCGAAAACCGCAGCGAACGTGGCCAAAGTGAATACGGCTGTTTCGAATCCTAAGGGAACAAAATTATGAGTGAAACCATGAATTTGGAATATTATTTAACAGCTGACTATTATACAGTCGTCAAAATCGAAATAGTAAATATATTTATAGTGATAAATTTCAGAAAAATCAGCCTTAAAAACTCTACTTTTTAGATTTTTTATGATCTTAAAAGATAAGAATAAAGAAACCAATAAGAATATTGAATTTTAAAAAACTTACTATATATATTTCTGAAGCTTAACAAAAAAATTAAAAAAAAAAATTAATTTTAAGGATTTTTAAGCCTTTATGTAGATTTCTGAAGTTTTCGATCCTTGATATTAAAAAAGGAAGAAGAACGAGAAGAGAAATTTTGTTAAATTTTAGAAAATCAGCGACTTAGCGACTTTGCTCGAGTCCTTTACCTAAACTTTCGAGCTTTCAAAGTTAAAAAGAGAAAAAAAAGTTAAAAAGGATAAGAAGACTTATTCAAGTTCGCAATCGTAAGACATATTATCTCCTACGTACATATGTATACATATACGTATATACATATACGTATATATACATATATGTATACATATTATATATATACTTGTGGAATTTTTCGAACTTATCCTATATTTAAATCGAACTCTCGAGATGGATCGAAGGATGGTATTAATAAGACTGTGACGATAAAAGCTTGGCTAAAATTCCTCTACAATGGAATTTTAGCTGGCTGGAGATCTTATGAAATTTGACAAAGCCGATTACAAAGGCGGGCGCGTTTTATTCGATCTTTCGGCTCTCGCCGAATCCCCAACCTTTAAATCCTTCCCTACTTGCAAAATTTCGCAAAGCCGATTAAAACTCCACCATATGAAATATTCGAAAGAGGAAGACTTCTCTCCCTTCCACTTCTCCTGCTCGCTTCTATCATCGTGTATCCCCTCCCCTCTATCCTTCACGAGAATCAACATTTTTTCCCCCTCCCTCACTTTCTTTCGCCTCCTCGTCCCACGCATCCTCTGTTGATTCGTTTTCCTGCGCTTCTTCCGTCGGATTAGATGTTTCTTCCGTCGGGTTAGATGTTTCTTCCGTCAGAGTAGACGCTTCTTCCGTCGGATTAGACGTTTCTTCCGTCGGATTAGATGTTTCTTCTACAGGACTAGACGCTTCTTCTACAGGACTAGAC